TCAGCATCGAGTGCCGCTTGCCTACCGGATCTCAACTCGGCAGGGCACGAGTTGCGACGCCGTAAGGTGCACGTGTTTGTCAGCGGATTATTTATCAGATTCCAAACTAGTGCCGTCCACTTTTGTTATGTGTCATCGGACTGCAACAAAACATGCAATGAGCACAGCTTTACCTCCAGCAAACACCTCATAGAATGGTCAAAGCCTGCGCACAAAATTTTGACGTTCTCACAGTGGGAGTTGGTGTCGCTCTAGCCCAACCTAGCAGAGAGGTGTAGGCTTCTATAGTTATATTTTCTTAATATTTATCTATATCATACAGCACGTCACGAATCAAAACTTGGTGATATAGGGGAAGCTCCGGCCATCTACATATTTCACGCCAGGTTCAGGAATACAATTTTGAACTAAGAGTAATGAACATTCAAATGCAAAGCAAAAACTGTGAATGGAAGACGTACAAATGAAAAACAAGTTATAAATAATAAACATTCAAGTGCATAAACAATCAGGAAATAAAAGAATACCGTGTGCTATAAGCGAAATTGGCGGGCGCTTGCCCAGCACTGCTTTAGTGTACATCTAGTAACACCTTCTTATACACGACTGCATTTTTATCACAAATGCCATCAATAAAACAACAATAGTAAAATTATTTACAATCTCCGCATTCTTCTCACGTACACAGTAACAGGTTCGTACACAACGTGCGTCATCCTCATACAGGTCGAACGCGAATTCGCGCAGAGTTCCAGAGGAAAGAGGCGTTCATCATTGTACCACGTGGTGCCTTGATGACGTTCAGCGGAGACTTTCAAGTGACTTTAAACGCAAGTTTCCTAGAAGGCCAAACAAGAGAAAGGGTTCTGGTTATTCTTTTTAGGTGATGCCTTTCTCCCCTCTTAACGGAGTAAATTTGGTTTGATTCTACGTCTTAATCTCATATTCAGCGGATTGAATACAAAGTAAATACCTATGCTGAACGTTGCACTTGTAACAACCTGGTATTATACTGCTTTATTTTATACAGTTGAAATGGAAGAAGTACCGCTTTCGAAACTTTTGTTTTAGAAATACCTACTCCGTGAAGTTACCGTAAAATCCAGACCTAACACGCTCATCCCAAAAGTCCGCCCAAATAAATTTTTTTGTTTGTTTTAATACTGGGTGGGCGTTTATTCGGTATTTGGCGGAAAGTATTTTTGTTTCACTTTATACCAACTACCTTCTTTTTGATAACACCTAGACAAACCCGTCTTTACGTTTGTTTTTGGAATACGCGTTTCAGATGACCAATCGAGAGCTTCACTTATCAAGTGTATCCCTTCAAAACATAAAAAAACGCACACAAAAAAAAACATGCTGTGAAAATGTTAGCAACCCAATAATCTACACGATCCGAATCACCCCCTTCCTTTAAAATGTACTGCGTATCAACCGAATAACATCATTTTTTTACGGTTTTGCTCTTAAAATTAAACTTGTTACAAGAAAAGCCTCGTTTCTGTCTAGATATGCATATCGATTGTTTGCAAAAAAACAGCGTGCCAAAGAGTAGTATACTGTTTCAATAAATAAATGTGCAATCCTTTTTACGCTTTATGCTAGAATCCTAAGTTTTTTTGGAAACTATCTGTGACACAATAAATATATGTGGAAATTTACTCAGCAATTTCATGCCCTTGACTGTTTTACGAGTCGCTAACTGGATTTCAGCAATTCAACAGAATCACCGCTCAGTTGTATATAGCATGTTTTCGTTTTAATAAACTTGGTAATCTGCTTGTTCAAATAAGGTATGGGTATAAGAAAATTAGTAGTTTGGTACAATGCTTTTAAGAATAGCTGTCGGGAATAAGGACTATCGCATGGCTCCGTGGAGACTAAGCCCGTCATCTGGCGAGGAAGGTTGAGGAGATTTGCACGAACTAGCCCGAATTTTTCGCGCAATCAGAAGTGTTGGTTTTCAGTGAAGTGTTTCTCAAGCTTTTAGGAGTGCTGGCGGAATTGTGGTGACCCGAATTTAACTTGTCGGTGCAAGATCGAGTTACAATGTCAGATTGCCGATTCCTAGATTTCGAGGAACTCTTATGTGAGTGGCTACGAGCTGCGCATGCTTTTTCGTGAACGAAGGAAAAGGTCTGCATGAATGACGCGTTGAGAGAGATTTGTATTAAGAGTAAAGCAATATTTGTGGCTTTATAGGTAAGTATTTATTAAATGCCAATAATACATTTTTGTGGCTTTTACTCAGTTTATATTTTTGTATTGCTCGCAAATGTTAAAAAAGGAAAAAAGTTAAGCATTTAACGGCTATAAATGTTTTTCTTCATGCGCCTGAGTGCCTAGCAATTATAGATTTACATCAACATGCTAATATGTCAATTTGTTTCAATTACCTTTATTAACAAATTTGAATTTTTTATTTATTGTAAAATGTTCCGGAATTATACTCAAACGCCCGTCATATTTACAGTCGCCCAGAAGACAGATCTTAGAGCTCAGTGATGCCTTCACGCAAGCCAACCAAACAATTCTGTATTTCGGTATTTGTTGTAAATTCTGGCACGGCTTCTGATCTCTCTGCTTTTTTAATCTCTATTTTGCCCTACAGTGTAGCTGAGGCCATAGGCACAACCCATGGATTTGGTGCGTGCTCCTGTATCAAGGTATGGTGCTATATGTTCCCTCCTACTACCACCAAAACAACAACGTTTTACATAACCCTACTCTAATTCTGTAAGACATTTCAAACGGCACATCCATCGTGATAGGTAAATCTCAAGCTCTCATAACGTAAACCCCCCCTCCCCCCAAAAAAAAAAACAAAAAAAAACAGAAAATTTTGCGGTATCCTAAATTACAGCAGAATAACACTCAATGTAAACACAAAAAGCGTTGAAACAAGGAAACACATAGCCTATTGTTATAAGCAGACTCTAACTTTAGTCGACCTTTCTTATGTAAAAGTATGCTGTGTAATATTATTAAGCTTTGAAAGTGGTTGTGCATGTAGGTGATCTTGTTTTTTCTTGATAATGCCGTTGAAGATATCATACGATTGCGTGGTTGTAACGTAATTTGATTGGGCACTTGATGCAAATTTGCACTTGATGCAAATAAAAATAAACAACAACAACAACAATACTTTTTTTAAGTTAAAAAAGTAAAAAAAGAAAAGAAAAAACTGAAAATGCTAAGGCGTCAGCGCAGTACCGAATTGCTGACGATTTCTTTTATACGAACTAATGCATTTCATTTTTTGTGCAGGTGAAGTAAAAACAGTAATGTTACTCGCGGTCGTATATGCCCTAACGTACCGTGCCTCTCTCTCCTCCTTACCCGTTGCATTCTATATGTGGAAACAGGTTAAGAGTTCAGGGGAAGCTCCTCCCACCCCTTTCCACATTAGTAGAGCGAACGCAGGAGAGGAGGCGACCTCGTCTCCACCGTTCGCTCTACTAATGTGGAAAGGGGTGAGGGGAGCTTCCCCTGAACTCTTAACCTGTCACCGATTCTTGGCGATTTTCACCACGCGTTTTTAAAGCGACCTTCACGGCATCGTCTTTTGACCGCCATGCGCTCTGAAAATCTGATTCGCTCGGAAAGGCTGGCGAGCGAACCTGCCGCCCCAGCTCTCTGTTATAGAGGCAAGGTGCCGTCGAATTCGCTAAAATTGTCAAAAGTAAAAAAAAAGAATAAAAAATAAAAAAAAAGATATTTTGTAATAAGAATAATACATCGACAACTCGTGCTCTTTAAAACAGCCGATCAAAAACGCACCACCTTAAGCAAACTTTCAAAGCAAAGCATTCCTTTGACTTCCGTCGTGGCTAACGCTGGCTCAAGTGAAAGACGACCGATTCCACGCGACTAGCCCATCTCTTTCGCGTTGCTTTATTCGGCCTCTCGACTTGTGCGCGTCTTTCTGATAAATGCCTGTGGCGATACTTGGTTTCATATAGAGTGCACACTGCTTTAAAATAGGTCATGTTAGTATTACTATAAGATTAGCGTTACAGAACACAGAGAAACTACTGACCTACTAAATGTATTCGGCAGGGTGTCGCCATTTAGATTTCATTACGGAGCTAAAAAAAAGACGTTAAAAACACTTTGTTCCTTTTACTTCTATGAAATTTTAAATTGGAGTGGAATTTTACTTCTATTGTGTTAGGCTTGTGAATTATTTTGTCTCAGAACAATGAAATGGAACCACCAAATACACAAGGCGCTCCGGACGATTCAACGGATTGGAGAAATTCATATCGCGTGAGGTTGATAATGCAACAGAATGAAAATATCACGAAACGACATTGAAAAAACAAATCAAAAACAAAAACGGGGTGATTGATTTAAAAATAGAATATTACCCTTATATATCCTATTTCTTTATGTGTCCGCTACCAGGCATACTTTTAAAGCTATAGTTCGCCCTTCAATAACTTGGTCCGCGTAAGAGTTTCGTCTACGCCCATCCAATCAAAAAACGCGGGTTTTTAGTTCTCACAGAGGAAATATACGAGCAGGCGTTTCCTGGTATGCGCGTACGCCTGGCCGTAGGTTCCCTACTCCGATATAATAATAAACAATAAAAGGATCCCAAGGTGATGCCCTGTGATAGCGCTACATTTGGTCATCATTCCAAAAATGAGTGTGCCTTGATTTTGGTGTGTTTACAACTGCTGGTTCATGGGCAGCGTTTGCAATACAAGCTGCGAGGCGGAGGCAAATTCGTCGATCGTCTGCAAGCGACTAGAGCTTCTCTCAGCTTCCCCGCCAGTTATCACCTGCGCCGCGCGCCAACTCACGCTTGAGCACGAGCCAGCAATTTCCGCGGGAGGTGTCCGCCATTAATTTGCAAACGCTCTCCACGGTTCGAGTTGATCCCTCTCTCAAATCCAGGCTCTCTAGCGAAGGTGGCCGACTCGACGCCTCCTTGTGGAGCCCTCAGCGGCAGCTTGGGAGGAAGATACACAGTGTCCCGAAGGTGCAATGGATCAGACATCGGTCGGGGAGCGTCTGTTCTTGGCGAACGGCGGCGGGCGTGCGGGCGGCACGGGCCCCGGCAGGTGCTGTGGCCGGTGCAGACTGCAGTTGAGCTCCGGGTAGAATGGGGTCTGGCGCGAAGCGCACGTGGGACTGTGCTCCAGCTGACGAAGTTGCATGGCGAGGTCGTGTTGCAACTGGTCGGACTTGCGCGACTGGCGCCGGCACAGGATCACCGCTATGACCACGCAGAGCAGCACCACCCCGGCGCCCGCGCCGCAGCCGGCCAGAAGGGGCAGGTTGCCTGCGACCGAGAGAGCAGAGGTAAATGCATTGAGCCGCCGAAACCTCGATCGAAAAAAAAAAGGATAATTTGGAACGGTCTTTAAGCTCTAAGCCCTGTAATGCATAAAATGCATTATAGAGGATCGGTGAAGGAATCGGTGTTCCGATGGAATTGGTGTTCCACGTGACGTATATTTTCCAGCTAAAATTAGCGAGGGAACTGGATTAGTGTCTATGTCAGAAGCCGTGAATTTTCCCGCTAAATTTCGCCGAAAACTGAAGTGGTGTATAGGTCAGGTGGCGTTCATATCCCGCTAAATCTAGCGCGGAAACTGAATTGACATTTCGGCCAGAAAACGTGGATTTTCCTTAGAATGTAGCGGGGAAACGGAGTCAATGCATAAGGTCATGTGCCGTCCATTCCCCCAAAGTGTAAAGGTCGCGTGGTATCAGGTGACGTCACGGGACGCAACTTTCACTCCAAATTTAACGGGGAAACTGAATTGGTGTATAGGTGACCGGACGTACCTTTTTCCGCTAAATTTAGCAGGGAAACTGCATTGGTCTGTATGTCCCGTGACGTCAGGTCACGTGACATAAATTTTCTAACTAAACTTAGCTGAAGAATTGAATTCGTGTATAGGTGTCGTAATATCAATTAATTTAGCGGGGAATACACGGACGAACAGACAAAAATTTTGCGATTGGAGGGTAGCGTTAAAAAGCATTTCATGCTTTAATAATATACACTCAAGGGTAACTGAGAGCTTAAGAAACAGGGAAGGGCGAGTCCCAAGCGCCTTCTTAACGTCACGTAGCCAATCAGAAAGCGGCATTGGCTTTTAAGGAGGCGAAAGGACCAATCACGAAGTAAGAACTATCATAGGCCACGCCCTGCGTCTTATTAAGCTGTCAGTGTGACTTTATGGAGAATACGTCCCACTCCCCTCGTTTGCAAAAGACAGCGCGCCTACAGCGCCAAATCCTCCCATAGCAGTGAGGACATTTCGCGTTCGCGAAAACGCACGGGCATCGCGCTGTCCAGGCTGTTGCGGACTCGCGCGGCGCCGAATGGGAAGGCTCTCGCCGGCGACGCACCGAAATTCTGGGTTCGCCAAGATGGCAGAGGCGGCTGTCTCGACCGGCGCTCGAGCGTCCACGACGTCTGATGGCGGCAGCCGCCCCTCCCAATTCAAAAGACCCCAAGATGTAGCGCGTGTCAAGGCCATTACATTTTTCACAGAGTGAGATGTATGCACCTAGTAAATTGTTTTACCGAAAACACAAAACCAGACACTTTTGGCGACATGCATTGCATTTTCGTCTTCGACCATTCCAGTAACCGCGCCTTCTGCGCGCAGCAATATCTGCCTACAGGGCTGAGGTACGGTGCCTGGAACGCGTTTCCGTCTGGTGCACGTGTGTTCACCACTGTGGCGGTCCACCGGCCTACCAAGCAGCAGATAAAAGACGACGACGTTACTCGTCGATACGAGCCCGGTGGCACGAGAGAATAAACAGAACGTTTTCACGTAAGCTCGGAGTCGGTCGCACCATCTATTCCATCCTCAAGATCGAACGCGCTACAAAATGGTGACCCGGACGTGATGATCGGCTCCGAGCACCTGCCATCCAGGGGAACTTTCTCCGCTGCACGGGACACGGCAGCGGCTTGGGATTTGGACGATTATGCAAGAACACATCTCCCTCGGCCCCCGCATCCGGATCCTCCGACATTGCCTCCGCCCCGTCGCGTCTGCCGCCGGCATCTCCCAGCAACGGGCTGCGACCACCTCGCTCACCCCGCCAGCACGGCAAGTCTACGTTCTTTGGCATTTCCACCACTGCCGCAGCCCCTGGTGTCGCCCCGGCAGTCGTGCCCATCTGTGTGGTGTGGTGCTGGCCTGGCACGGTCGCGTGCTGCCACAACATGTGGGGCGTGCCGCACCGCGCCACGCTGGGGCATGGCAAGTCACGGCGGACCATACTGTTCTTGACAAGACACTTCGCTAACCGACCAGGGCCTCTTTATCGCTGGTCATGCATTTCCCTCCGCTCGGTGCGTCACCTCCAGGGATGACGCTGTATCGGTCCCACAGCTGACCGCCATGTCCCTTGGAGCCCGAGCTGCGACGGAGCCCACTCCACATTGGCTGCACAGCACGAACGCATCGCTGTGCCCTTTCTCTGCTGCCGCATTGCTCCAATAAGCCTGACTTCAGCGTCAAGTCCCTGCGTGGTTTGCGCAGGCTGTCTTCTGCACCACTCTCTGCCACGTCGTCCGGCTCGTATCACTAGCCAACGGCAACAGCCCAACTCACTTGCTGCTGCCGCAACCACTCAATCGCTCCGTCCCCTACAGCCTGCATAGCTGCAGGCGACGGCTCTAGGGGGGGGAGCTCTGTGGCGGTCCACCGGCCTACCAAGCAGCAGATAAAAGACGACGACGTTACTCGTCGATACGAGCCCGGTGGCACGAGAGAATAAACAGAACGTTTTCACCTAAGCTCCGAGTCGGTCGCACCATCTATTCCGTCCTCAAGATCGAACGCGCTACAACCACGTTCAAAAAAGTGCTCCCTCGAAATAATTATAATGCAATTAGATGCAAAGGTGCAAGCGAGCTGGACAAAAATGACGAAAATAATCCCTGGAGAAGGGGAACAAGAGGGACAAGGGACAAACACAAATCTCCAAACACAGCTAGGTGATTGGTGAGCGACCGAAAAAATCCGCCTGGTCCGGGTATCGAACCCGGGACCTCTCCATTACAGGCGGAAAGCTCTACCAACTGAGCTAACCAGGGGTTAGACGCTTTTCGGCTACCACGTTGGGGCTCGTACCGAGTGATGGCGCCACGGGTCATGGTTGGACAATGCCGTAACGACGATTGGAGATAAACTTTCCGTAATCGAATTTTTGTCTAAGGGTAAACAGGGACGAGTAGGCGCTTGAATTAAAAGTAGTAATGGCTTAATAAACACGGTGGTGAACCTTTTCTGTCGAAACGTTGTTCACGGGTGTCTTTATCTTTATGACCATAAAGATATCAATCAATATTTTTAACAAGATCAGACAGAATCAATTACTATTTTTAACACGTATCCAAAAAATCATGGAAACTACAGTCTACGATGTAGTCATTATGTAAAAAGCAAAGCTCGTACAAATTATGGCTTCCAGCAACTTTCATACATAATTCCAGACACATTGAATACACAGCCTACCATAGCTCAAATTGTGCAAGACAATGCTTCCTTTCGGACATTCAAAGATAACCTTGTAACATATATTTTAAGACTCTCATGATCTGCAGTTCGTATCCCGGCTATTGAGTTGCATTCATTTATATTTTCTAAGTATGCCCGTTGACAATATGATTCATTTCAGTGTTTGTTTTGTTTTGTGCTGAGTGCTGTAAAAAAAACTTGGGGGTGGGGTCCCGTCAGAAGACAAGTCTGACTTCTTTTATCCCAGACCCCAGACTTCTCTTTCGCCTGAAATAAAGACAACATACTGCGTACCACAAACTACGTGTCCAGTTATCTTTCAATGACGTGTGTCTCAACCCTAGACAGCTTGGCCTAGCCAGCTAGGACGAGCGTTTAGGTTAAGCTGTATTTTTGTCATCAACACCTACCAATCAATGTAAACAGTAACACCCAAGACGACTGTCAGCGAGACTAGGCCGTCTGCATTGGCGTCATGCATGCAAAATTTTGAGGGTGTATTCTCATTTTTCACAGGAAAAGAGCTGCGCCTTTACTTTTCACGAGGTAAAATCTACCATAATTATACACGTGCCGAACTTTCTGGCTTATGTGACATGCTATCAAAGTATCAATGCTGCCATCTATTCTTGGCTAAAACAAACAGCGCGACAAAAGCAAGGAAAAAGTAAAGACGAGGCACGTGGCAGCGCTGTTTAACTTTTTCCTTGTTTTGTCGCGCTGTTTTAAACCAAGATGGTCGTCATCCAAGTAGCCCAAACATACCTTTTAGCATGCCATCTATTGTTAGAAAAGTATGGATGTACCGTACCGACTTCTGTTTAAATAGGGAATTCTTTTTTTAATGTTTAATACTGTATTAGCGAAGGCCACACGAGTAACTTTGTGTAAATTATTTCCGACCAACGTCGACCATTCTTACTTTTAATTATGACTCTTAGATCCCCTTCATGGCTGCCGGGTTTAGCTCCCTATACCTACTGTGCATTAGAGTATTGGCGAACAAAAAATTACGTCACAGCAGCCCTTAAAATACATGGGTCAGATAATTGCGATCCTGCTTGATACCTGTAGAAGTGGCGGCGCAGCCGACAAACAAGCACAGACGTCACTGAGTCGCAACCTTTGGTTTCTGGTGAACAAGCACGTAAAGGGGTATTCACACGAGGGAGAAATCCCGGGGATTTCTCCCCGGCACGCGCGCATCACGAGATAAAAACGCGAGGCTTTTGCACATCGCAAAGCCTGACGTTTTCGTCGTTAGATGCGCGTGCCGGGGAGAAATCCCCGGGATTTCTCCCTCGTGTGAATACCCCTTAACATACAACTGAAAAAGCGCTTACTATTTCCCCATTTCACCGGCAGACTAAGTCTACGGATTTTGGCTATGCGCGCTGCCTCTTCATAAAGAATAACCGGTATTGCAACAATGTCACACGATTTTTATTTCCGTCGCAGACGTATTCCAGTCACTATAGGTGTGACATAAATCAGATTTAAAAAAAAGAAAGCCTGAATTCCCTTGTAACTTTGGTGGTGTGCATTCAGATCCAGATCACAGCCCCTAAGACATGTTTGATTTTGACCCAGACGCCTGTTTTCGTTTTAAATCTGTGACTTGTAAGGACTAGCAGTGCCAGCGGTGTTAAGGTATGAGATGCGCATACGACTTGAAATTGATTTTTAAAGAACCCTGCAACGTGTTTTCAATAATTGTTTTATGCATGAGTTACGATTGTGCTAATGTATGTACATTATACGGATGTTGTTGGCCAACAGAACAATAAAAAGAATATTTTAATACAATTTGCGAAGAAATGTAACATCTAGGGTTTCATTTCCACTTGTGACGCAATAAACTCAGACTGAAATATGCAAACTGAGTGCAGTAACTACGAGTGACTGTCGCTATTTTTATGAAATAACAAAGTTTTTGATAATGTATTTAGTTTGATTATGTGCCAACTAACAGGTTCATAGTTCTACGCACCTTCACAGGAGGAACGTGCAGCACTCCAACTCAGCCCAGTTTATGAATCAAGCGGTATATAATTAAAAAAACAAAATGTTGATGAATACCACACTGCATGGTAAATTTTGTTTACTTAAAATGATTTAGCCTCTATCAATGACTACTTACAAACCGGAAACTTCAAGGGAACCATCAAAGCCGATATTTAAGTATTTAATGTTTTGTTAATTATCGATTTCATCCTAGGTTGTCCTTCCAACGAACAACAGACCTGATTAGTTTGCAGGGAAGGCATTATCCCTGTTACAGTGACGCCTCTATCTTTCTTCGAACAATTTTTTACCTAATAAAAACCAATACGTCGCATGCAATATTTTTATATGTTAGACAGTTGGTGCCACCTGCTGGCTTGGTTGTCTGCTGCTGCAGCAAGTTCCGACTTGAAGGTTTACACGAGCGAACAGTTCGGTATTCAAGACGCTTATCTTCACGCCATGGGCACCCATATCTCCTTGAGAAACAAACCAAACGTATGAAATAAGTGTTGCGCAGAAATACGGGCTAGGCCTCTTTGCGGGAATGCTTTCGCAAAGCAAGCGCTGCACATCAACCACGTTCCCGTTACCATAACTTTGATATCACTCCACATCACTTCTGAGGTAGATTTTGGAATGATGACGGCAGTAGTTCCTTGGTTTGTTTTTAAAACATTCCTTCTGTTGCACGGACACTTGCAAAATTCAAACAAAGTAGGGAGCCATTTCTCGCTCTTTTCAGTGGTTTCGCTTGCAGCGTAAAACACGTGTGATACAATGTGGTACTTTGCTAGCTGTAACACGCGAAACGTAGCTGCTTTGCGCTACCAACTTAACGCAGCAGGCGATCCTCAAAACACAATGAATGTTCGATGGCCCAAAAAGCTCTTCTCCAGATTGAGATAACACCTTCGCTTAGAATACGTTCACGTGTGCGAGTGACTACAATTCGGGATACGTGAAGCCACCGTGTCCTCAACTATTGCGTGGCGATTCCCGGAGCGTGTGTTGTATGATATTGATGGTGCGGAGCCGTCACATTTCGTTTTTCGCACCCCAAAAAAGTGTGCAGCGTAGTAAATAATAAAGGCCTTTTAAAAACGGTAAGCGAAGTTTAGTTTGTAATACAACAGTTCCATTTAAAACCAGACGTGCAGGGACGGTGTTCCGGAATATTGCAGGAAGGTGGGTCTGAATGGTATTGATGCTTTATGCTCACACTTGTCCTCGTCACTGAAATCTTCGTCGCTGCAGTTCGGCAGTCCGTCGCACACCAGCGACCGGTCGATGCAGTATTGCCTCGTTTCTGTGCAGCTTCGCGTCTCCGAGTTCATGCAGTATTGACTTTTGGGGCAGGTGTATTCCTTGCAGGCATCTGTTTCGAATAGGACGAAAAAATGAAGCAACAGGTATTAACGACAAGCCGGTCATTCCGGGAGATTCGACAGAAGTTTAACAGTGTAACATTATGGTAAGAAGCATGCTACGAGCGCATATCAACAGTAAGTTCCACGTCTGAATACTAAAAAAAAAGATACGGTATAACCACGTCATGTATGCACGGTTAAACTTACAATCTCCATATTTTTGCTTTGCAGACACAGAAACGTAAACACTCCTCAGAACGTGTGATGGATTTCTTCATAAATGTGCAGATGAACAGCTTTGCGCGAGCAGTTTAGGCTATCAAGTGGCACAAATAATTGTTAGAAGATTCAAGTCGGGGCTAAGGCAACATTCACAATATACAGCTCTGTCACGTTCGACCGCGGGTGGTATACCGATGAAGCATAGCCGGGCTGGACGATTGAGGATCCAAATAAAGATTTGTATTTACAAAATGAAAAATAAGAGGAAAATCCACTCAGAAGTAGCGCAACGAAAAAAAGAATTACAACGCTCAATGTTCTAGTTCCTGTGTTTACAAATAATAATAAGAAGAATAACAATAATAATCTTTATTGGCTCAGGAGAGCTGTGGCACCACGGAAAGGCGACAACCCGTACCACGGGGGCCCGCGGTGCCACGTCTAGTGATGATGAATATGAGATGGTATATACAAGGGGAGGACTACGACGTATAGATGACAGAGAGGTGCTGACGATGTGAAATAAAGCGTAATCCATCTGCGTCCCGTTAAGGAATCTCACACACAAGATCTAGTACCCGGACGAATCGCTCAAGGGCCCCGAGTCTTCGTAGCTTCAAACTTGACGCACGATTCTTTGGTGTTTTTTGTTGGGTACCTGGAGTTCCGGCGCCAGACCTGTGGAGCGATGCCAGTTGCCGGGTCCCGTTCCTCGGAGCGTAGCCGGGTCCTCCCACATCTGGCTCGCGGCGTAGCCGAGACCGTGTGTTCCGTCCGATAGCGAACGACCCTGCCTTCTTCCTTTTCTCGAGCACACATTTGTCCTCACTTTTCTTTGTTTTGAACTGCACGAAAATGCTTCTTGCTTTCCTTCTCTTCTTTCTTCACAACCATGACAATATCTCCCAATTTCTAGAAATTCATCTTATGAATCATCTTCTTCGTCTTGAACTTCTTTTTTTTGTGTTCAAGGCGGAGATGCTCGCTCATTGTCGCGCGCACAGCACCAACTCTTGTCCCTTCACTGCTACAACACGGTGTAATACGAACACGTGGTTCACCCTTGTTGACGTGCACGTACAGCACACGCAAATTAACTCGGTCTCACAAGTAAAAATCCCAGGCAGAGTCACAAAAAAAAAAAAAAAAAAAAAAGCGACACCAATATTTGTCGACGAAAAAAAAAAAGAATCCCGCAAAAGAAATGTCACAGATTAGCTTACAATACCAAACAAAACCAATGAGTGTACACAATTGAAGACTCGTTACCAAAACCCAGGTTCTCGTCTTAAATACTACTAAGAAAGTCTGCGCCAAGATTTGCACACCCCATTATATACTCCACATGAAAACTATAGTCTTGCAACCTCATGCTCCACCGCATCACTTGAGTGTTGGTGTGCTTCGCCTTATTGAAGTATTCCAGAGGCTGGTGGTCAGTTTGCGCGCGAAACTTTGTACCATACAGATACATTGTAAACCGTCCTATTGCCGAAACTAGGGCCTCCTTCTCGATTGTCGCATAGTTTCTCTCCACCTTGGAGAGTTTTCTACTTGCGTATGCTACGGGATGTAGCAACTAATCGGTGTCCGAGAAAAGCACCGCACTCAGACTCCCATCTGATGCGTCGGTTCGCAGTACAAATTCTTCGTCTAAGCCTGGTGCTAGAAGAATACGTGGCTTCAACAACGCTCTGAGCCTTGAGAACACCTCTCCTTGCTACTTGCCCCACTTCACGTCACTTCCACTTCCCTTCTGCGTCAACTTTAAGGGATCCGCCACTCCTGCGTAGTATGGTTTGAATACCCTGTAGAACCAAGTAAGTCCTAGGAATTAGCGACTTGACGTTTCGTGATCGTCCTCGGAGCGCCCTTGATTCTCGTTGTAATTTCTTGATTTGGGTCTATTCGTCCCAATCCCAGTCTGTACCCCAGAAAGCCAACCTCGTCGAATCCGGCCTCGCCCTTCTTCGGCTTCAACGTTAGACTGGCATCACGCAGCCTTTCAAACACGCTCCTTAATTTGTCCACGTGTACTTTTCATGAGTCTGTTGCTACCAACTTGTCGTTGATGTAGAGATGAGCGCCTCGTATGCCACCCAGCAGCATTCGCATCAACTTTGTGAAAGTTTCTGACGCAGTTTTGATACCAAAGGGAAGGAAATTGAAATGGTACCGCCCACTTGACGAGAATGCGGTCTTCTTTTTCGCAGTTTCCTCTATTGGTATTTGCCAGAAACCCTTGTCCAGATCTAGTTTTGAAAATAACCGCTTACGCCCCACCTTTTGCAAAGGTGATGTCTAGGCGGGGTATGTGCTCTATCTAAGTCTGCTACCAACGTGTCATTCAACCGTCTGAAGTCTTTGCAGAACCTGCTCGTACCATCAGGCTTCTTCACCACCACTAGAAAGGCGTACGTTGTACGAGATCTCTCAGTCACTCCCATCTCCAACGTCACCGCAGTTTCTTTCTCAACTATCTCGTGAACTTTTGAAGGAAAAGCGTGCTGCCTAACATGTACTGGCGCCTCCATGGTGTACTTGAGGTCGCATTTTGGTAGGCTTGTCTTTCCTGGGGAATCCGAAAAGATTTCTGGTATTCTGTAACCAAATTTAAAACATGTTGCTTGTGAGCGGGGTCCAGGCCCTGAATGATGAGCGCTCCAGGTTTTACTTGAGCTAGTTGGTACATACTTGAATATGGTCAGCTGAACAATTACAAATTAGAAAAGCCGTGAGAGGAAAGACACACACACCTCTCATGGTTTTTCTAATTTGTAATTGTTCAGCTGACCATATTCAATGATGAGCGCTCCTTTCTCAGTTTGTTGTCCGGTCAGGTCAATGTGGAAATTTCGTCGACGTCTTCTTTCCCATTGACTCTCTCGGCATTGTCGCTACTTGTTGCCGCGCCGAATCTCGGTTGGTCTTGACCAAGTTCTACTTTCTCTTTATATTTCTTCAGCATAGTTACATAAAAAAAAACTTTCTTCTCCCTCCAATTTTGAGCTTATAATCAACATCATATCTTTTTGCAGTGATCATGAAAGGACCATTCCACAGCATTAACATATTGTTATTGTAACTCGGTAGAAGGATCCGTGCATTGTCACCTGTTTTCATTTCTCGGGTGATTTTCTTCTAATCATACTATCATTTGTATTTCGCTTTGGCCTCCCTCAGGCATTGATGTACCATTCGACACGTTTACTCTAGATTTTCTTTGAGTTCCAGGAGATAGCCATATGATGTTTTCGTCTCCTAGTTTCTCATTGAACCACACTCCATTCAGGATGGACAAAAGTCCACTTACCCTTATGCCATACAAAAGTTCAAGCGGCGTAAATATCAAACTCGACTGCGGCACGTTCCTGTAAGCGTAAAGAAGTGCTCGTAAATACCGATCCCTGTCCTTCAGCCTCTCTCGGCACATGCTTCGTAGCATCTGCTTTAACGTGCCATTAAACCGCTCTTCTAGCCCGTTGCACATTGGGTGCTAGGGTATTGTCAAAAAGGTGTCTTATGGAGGATACACGGCCCACTTCCCTCACTAAATCTGGTGTAAACGTGGAACCACGGTCGTTCAGGACTTCTTCTGGTACGCCGTATCGCGTGGATATTCCCACCAAAGCTTCCGCCACTACCGACGTGCCGATTGATTCCCGAGCCACTGCGTTCGAGTATCGAGTAGCAACATCTACCACTGTCAAGATGTACCTTTTCGCCGAGTTTGATTTCGGGGCGATGGTGTCGATGAGGACAATGGCCACCCTTTGGAAGGGCGTAGCAATCTTTAGCATGGTGCCTAAGGGTGCCTTGTCTACTCTTCAATTTTTGACTGTCCTCTGGCACGTGACGCACGGACGAACATATATATCTTTTAATTTCACCTTGCATTCCCAACGAGAAGAATTCTTCGGCCACTACTCCCACGATGTTGATTACACCATGCTATCCTCACATCAAACCAGTATGAGCCATCGCCATGACCACTTGCCTGAAGTTTTTGTGAGAACAAACTGCTACGTTATCCTACCCGAGCTGCACGTATAACTTCTATACAACAACCCGCTTTTCATAAAGAATGCATACTTAGTCCTTTTTCGATGCTTCTCGGTGATATTCCCGACGTTGTCGAAACATTTATTCATAGTTGGATCATTTTTGCTGCGCTTCTCGCAGCTCCTCTCAGGTGATTTTCAAAGGTAAAACTCGCGGTACTCTTATTTCGGGTGGCGGTGGCAGCGATTGATTCATACGCCTTTTGGCTTGCACCGGAGTTGACGCACGATTCCTTGGTGTTTATTGTTGGGTGCTTAGAGTTCGGACGCCGGACCCGTGGAGCGATGCCAGTTGCCGGGTCCCTTTCCGCGGAGCGTAGCCGAGTCCTTCTACCCTTGGTTCTGGGCGTACCCAAGACCGTGTGTTCCGGCCGATTGTGGACGATCCTACCTTCTTCCCTTTCTCGCGCACACACTCGTCCTCCTCTTTGTTTTTCTTGGACTGCACGAAAATCCTTCTAGTTTTTCCTCTCTTCTTCCTTCACAACCATGACAAGCTCGCACCTATCCCCGTGCGAATACGCCAAAGGAGAGACAAACTTACTGGGAAACAATTTCAAACCAATGAGGATGTGAAAGCCGACTGCTGTCCTTTAAAGGGGCCCTGCAAGGACTTTTTTTACTGGTTTTTAATTTGCACGGAACCTGAGCGCACTAAACGTAGCAACCAAATGAAAATTTTCTTGTCTCGAATTTCGCTTTATTTTAAAAGTTATAGGCAAATTAATATTACAAAAACAAGCAAAAATAACCTCCTTCATGACGTCCTTGGACACTTGAGTGGCGGTGAACTCGAGGAGGGGTAGTGAGCTCAGCGAGCGCTCACGGCTGCCGCACTCCGTGTCGACGGCTCGAGAGGGCGCCACTAAAGCATGTTCTGGAGAGGCTGTATGAAGCGGGCAGCCAGGGCAACTCGCATTGCATTTGCTGCGCGATTAAACACTAATTCGGCATTACACTTCATTGGCCACGAAAGACAGCGAAAACGGGGTAAAGATAAGTTCAGGACGGGAGCCACTTCGCGCTGCCATACCGCCAAAGGGCCAAACCGCAAGACAACGCTGCTCGCAGAAGGCGTTCGGAACGCTCGGAACCGGTCGGATCTTCGACTGCAGCGCCGCCGCGTATATCCGGGACCTTTCTACGCTTGCGCTCGTCGGTGCCTGATCGCACTACACCCTTCTAGTATGCGCCGCCCTTTGCACCACTTGGTGGCGGTTGTGTCGACGGGTCATTTCTTATTTCCGAACTTTATAAACTGCATTTGTTTCTTTTCTGATCTAATATCTTGAACATTGGTTGTTTAATTTGGCTTTGGAAATGTATGTTAACCCTTGTGTATTAATCTTAAAGGTATTTCTACTATTATTTATATCCCAGTGTTTATTGTACAAATTACTTGCATTTTTTGTTGTAGATGTGATGAAATGTGAACGAGTGTGTACTTACTTACTTCTGTGTGCTCCTTCCTGCGAAAATCCCGAAGGGATTGGCAGTATTTTCAAATAAATATACTGAACAAAAACTTCCTTTATAAATAATTAAAACGGCTCGCGCCACTTATATTTTGCATTTCGACTAAAAAGAAGCTTTTAGCGGCTCTGACCAGTAGTAAGCCCAGGACCTAAGACGTCACATTTCGCGCGCTTTCCGCAATGCGGGTCGCCCTCGTAGGTGGAGGAGGTTTCCGCGTTGTCCAGTTAAAATATGACGTACTGATATTTAGTTTTTCTCTCCGTGCCCGCTGGCTTGCCCGAACCCCAAGAGACGTGGAAACCGCAAAAATGGTAGATGTTTACATATGATTGCAGGGCCTTTTTAAAGGGGTATTCGGCAATTTTTTTTTAATTTTCTCCGGTTTGCCTCAAAATTGGCTCAGCAGACCGATAGACATGGCTGTATTGTGTGAGAAGAAAAACAATTTACGAAGTTATCAAATTTTCTAATTTAGTTCTCATCGCGTTTCTCAATCTGGGGAGCCCCTACTGGCGACATTGAAGTGTGACGACAGAAGTGGTACAAAGTGGGCAGTAAACCATGTTCCCAACTGATTGCAAGACACTTTATGCTGAGAAAAGGATGCTTGGTAGCTGATTCACTGTGCAAAAAACACTCGACATACTCTGTTTAAGGCTACCTGCGGGACCTGAAAGTTTGTACAATTTGTGACGTCACACTACTGGAAAGCACGCTGACATTTGAATGTTGGCTTCGGCATCATCTTCATTTACGGTTTTCTCAAATACTGTTTTGAATTTAGAGAAAATAAATAGCAGAACGTGAAGACTAAAGTACTGGTATTAAGAAAATGCAAATTGTTTGGGTTGCTCAAAAAATGGCCGGAGTACACTTTCGCTTAGGTGCAAAATTTGGAGGGGATATTCTGTGAAAGAATGCAAATACGTTTATTGCGAAAAAAATAAAGTGACACTCCGGCCACTAAGCGTCAACTGAACAGGTGTGACTAAATGTTAATATCGGCGCTGATATGTGCTTAGGTGCTAATTAAGTAGTTGAGTTATCTACATTTCGAACAGACTCAGCTTATATGCGCTCCTGGAGACATGTATCTCTGATGCATTCAAGCAAAGAGTCTAGTTTTATTTTCCAGCCTTCTAGAGATCCACCTGGCTGAGTTCAGCCGCTTAAGGCGGTCGGCTTGAGTTCTTTAAGGCGGTGCAGCGCGTACACACGCTTCAGCTATTCACAGGCTACACCCCCTAAAAAATGCGCCACGTTTGCGCGCTTTGGCTTTGAAGTTTAATCGGAGTTTGAGCACCTCACATACACACCTTATCGCTGGGCGGCCGTTGAAGTCCGCTCGACGGATATGAAAAAGTTAATCACGTGTTCTGATAATCACTTTCCTTAGGCGATTATGTAGAATAATTAATAAGAGTTGTACATGCAAACAAACATGGAGCACGTTATCTCATGTACTATTTTTGTGTTTTTTTGAGCAAAAGTTTTGCAATACGCCCATATAAGCGATTCACTAATCCTCGCTTTGGCTAGTACTGGAGCTCCTTAATTACGCCCTGCTATCTTAATTTTCCCAGCGTCTGTAAAGTTGGCTAGGGTGCGGTCGTGCTTGCTCACACTATTTGAAAAATACCAAATATCCTCACTTCATGTAGGGGCAACAATCCACGAGATTGCGACTCTCCAACTTTTAGATCCAATATAATATTATGGCAATAAAAGTTGCATGGCCGGCACAACCAGTTTCACCTTTAACCTGCTCAAGAACTGTCGTCTACTGGCAGAGGAAGGAGCTTGCTCTTCGGGTATACGGCGGCATTCATATATGATAAAATATGCTAGCTGTGAGTGAAGTAAATTTTCGTCTTTCAGCTACTATTACTTTAACGACGCAGTTCTTTTTGCTGAATTTGACATGGGTGGAAAGTTGGGGAGTTGGTGGTCGATAGTATTTAAAAAGCGCAACGAGGCACGGAGAAGGAAGGTAGACAGAGACACAGCGCTAACTTACAACTGAGCTTTATTTCTGTAGTCACTTAGTATATGTAACAGGTGTCAACAAAAAACAAACCAATAAAGAAACACGAATATGCACCGTTAAAGGGCTAAAATATTGTTCGCAGATACACACCGTTAAAGGGCTAAAATATTGTTCGCAGATACACACCGTTAAAAGGCTAAGTGTTGGGACACGATAAGAACAAACGGCTACACGAAGAAGCACAAAACTTGCTTCGTGGAGTGTCTGGAGGAAGTCGTGCACTCTTTTCTATTGTCGTGAGGGTGTCAGCGTGTATTGCAGACAGGCCGCTGCCTGAATGAACGTTTGAGGGAACACGTATACAACGTAGGTACGGTCATATCAGGGCATCTCAGTGTGCACTGTAGGGATTGCGGTTGCGCTCCCATCTTCAATGACTGTAATGTACTAAGCAAAAACAGATACAAGATTACGCGGGAGATACCTGAGGCCCGAGAAATTGGTTGATTAGGACTAGAGTGTGTCATTGTCAAATAAAGAGCTACGGTTTCTCGACGAAGGAGAGCAGTTTGTGCTGCTGCCGATGGGTGATGTAACAAGGTTTTAGCCTTTTAGCGGTGTGTATCTGCGTTTCATGATTGGCTTGTTTTTTTGTTTGCACTGGTTATATATACTAGGTGACTACGGAAATAAAGTAAGTTGTGAATTAGCGCTGCATCTCTGTTTATCTTCCTTGTCCGGGTCTCGTTGCGCTTTTTAAATACTTTGTTGAAAGCCTGTAGACGTCCAAGCTTCTTGGTGCTGAGAATATAAAGCTGCAGTCCATAAAAAACCTCGTGCCTATGCCAAAGCCAACGTCGTTAATCACTCCTAGAGTTCTTACACCCAGAAAACATACCTGCGACTTAAAAAAAAATAAAAAAAAAAAATAACCCGCAGTTTATTTTTGTGACGTCAGAGTCCGGTGCACACTCGTGAAGTCAGTAACCGAGCACTTTCGAATAAAAAACATGTAAATATAGCTCCATGGATCTCTCCGATTGCATGATATATCTGATTTTATTTGGTCTCACCATAATATTCAAATTTAAAAAAAACTCTAACTTTGCTGTAACTATATGACAAATATTTAGCATTCATTCTTTAAGTCATAGGTTGTTTTAGGACAGCATTATTTAGAAATATGTTGCCCGTGTATCGGGCATTATAGAAAAACAAAAACGGCGTATAAAACAAGCGGGCGCTAAAATCATCTGTAAACAAAACAAAACAAGAAACTCACCCATTGGTTGAAAAGTAACAGCCGTCCAAACCAGCTTGAAACCTATGATTTGTCCTGGTTGTCTAATGGGAGATTGTACCGTCGTATGTAACCTAGAAAAGTACATCAAAAAGAGGTTGTCAGATTTTATTTGAAATTTTACCTTTTGTTTTCACATGTCTACATACACTGAATATGACGATACGCAAGTTTTGATTTTACGAACGTCGTAGTTTTTTTTTGTTTTTTTATTATTCGCTTTCTAAACCGGCTGTGCACCACTACAAAACGTCCTCGCAGCCTCAGATGAAGTTTACCTACCATTTCCATATTCAAATTATATAAAGTTTAAGGAAACCCAAGAAATGTGTCTATAAACTTTCAATGAGATGAGCGTTTTCCACTAATGTCTGAATTGGTCATAGCTCTGTTCCATCAATCCATTATTCGCAAAATCAGTGTTCATACATTACATCAAGGAATGAGTAAAAAAACAGGAGAACATGTCAAACGGTTGGATGTTCCATGGTGCTCTGAATGCTTCGCAGCTTCTCTTCCTTCGTTGGCCGTGCGTTTTGGTGTGAAATCCTTAGAATACTCATGAAACATGTAGCCCTCTCGTGGCTTGTAGTGACAGCTTTGTGTGCTTGCCGGGGGCACTCTGGGTGAATTAACCACATTAAACGTTTCCCTGCCTTCGAAGAAGACACCAAACTTTTCTCCTTATTGTGTAAAAACACGCCGGGATGCAATTCCTTATATACAAAACAACGCACCCGGTGCTTATGCTAGCGCTATAAGGTGTCATTTTTACAATTGCTTTTGATGCAACCAATTTTTGAAGAGTGCGTGGGACCCGAAGTATTTGATACCCCGAGCGGAAAGACAGGAATGGAAAGTACCTAACTAGAATCCTGTTTCTCCTGGACAGTTCCGTCTTCTCTTCCGTGTTCTTATAATATTTGAGATCGCCGCAGTACCGCTTTAGCAACACCGGGTTCACTTTCAGGTTGGAGTAACCGTCGTAGACGGCAAGCTCTGCTTCCCCGCAGTTGGCTGAAATCAGAGACATAAATAATCAGTAAAAACTTCCTCTTACTTCCCAGTAAGCGAGAGTTGCGGAATGTTTCTTAAAACTTGACAAGAATAACTAAATGTAGATAATTCACGCTAGAATTGCTTCATATTCGAAGTATCCGAACGTGCACATCGTAATTTGGGCCACGGGGAGCAAAAGCTCGAACCACATAAGCCAGGGATCCTGGGATCTATTGGCGCGTGGGGTCCAAGTAAGAACCTATGCATTACATACCTTCCACGGTGTTTATTTAACACTGTCAAATCTACGAATTCCACTAAAGGTCAGTATAAACTGATTAACTTCTTGAATAAACATTACAAAACGCAAGGATATCGAAATTGTGGCTCTCAAGAGCTAAATTTCAATTTCAGATTTATTAATAACCTTTTGATGTATAGTCTTAATCTTGATGGTCTAATTTTTGAAGACACGGTTTTATCTTCCTACAGCGGCAGCGCAAAAAGATTAGCACAACTGACCGACGACCGGAGCTGCAAAATCGCGACACGCGGTGCAATTGTTCCCGAGCGCGCCAATAGTGAGAGTGCCAGTCACGTTCCAAGCTCAACGCGGGGGTGGCCGGCAAAAAACAGCCTATTCTAAAGCCCGTACTTTGAAAGCTATCTTGTGCCTCAATGTGCTCAACGAGCTTGAGTCTTACCTTAGAGCGGTAAACCGAAACCCACGGCCTGCAGCGGAAATGGCAGCCCCCCGGTTGCCGCCATCTTGCCTATTTGCCACATTAGTGATCACGTGACGTTAAGATGGCTGCGGCCAATGGTGGGCCAGATCAGATTGGCCAGATCGCGGTCAGCAGATGGCAGATGGGCACTCTGGGGCTGCGTTCGAATCTTACTCGAATGGCGCCGAGTTATTCCGGCGGATCAAGTCACGTGACAAGTCAGATGCAGCAACGCTGGACGCGGGTAGGTTTTCGAACACAACGGGTACGAGAACTTCATCGAGGAGTGAGATAAAAGTTGCGTTCGATTTACTTGCACCTCCTGCGCCGGTGCAGAAAAGTGTAGGGCAGTCTACTTCCGGTATATGTATTCAGATACGACCGGAAGTACACCACCCAACACTTTACTGCGCCGGTGCAGGAGGTGCAAGTAAATCGAGCGCAGCTTCTATCTCACTCCTGGGTGAAGTTCTCGTACCCGTTGCGTTCGAAAACCTACCCGCGTTCAGCGTTGCTACATCTGTCTGGGCACGTGATTTGATCCGCCGGAATAACTCGGCGCCATTCGAGTAAGATTCGAACGCAGCCCCAGAGTGCCCATCTGCTGACCGCGGTCTGACCAATCTGATCTGGTCCACCTCTCGGCGCAACCATCTTAACGTCACGTGATCACTAATGTGGCAAACGGGCAAGATGGTGCCAACCGGGGGGGTGCCATTTTTGACCGCTGATTTACCGCTCTAAGGTTACTCAAGCTCGTTGAATGTACTGCCGGCCACCCTAGCGTTGAGACATGGAACGTGACTGGCACTCTCGCTGTCGGCGCGCTTGGGAACAATAGTGCCGCGTGTCGCAATTTTGCAGCTCCGGTCATCGATCACTTATGCTAATCTTTTCCCGCTGTAGTTGTACGTGAACGTTGCAGAGTATGCGATTATTTTACGGTTTGTACGCTTTCCCTATGTGATTGTTGGTGTTTTGAACCTTTCCATACCTTCCCATACCTTCACAAGCTATCCCACAATCTAAAGGAAGTAGCGCAGCGATACAACGTACCTATGGTGTTTTCTGCCCCGCACAAACTGGCGCAACTGTGTCAAAGAGTAGCCAACAAAGGTGGGATGAAGCGCATTTGTTCAGTAAAGCATGAGCACAAATAGGTGGAGTGTACGATAGGCGTCGTGTGCAAGACTCCGCTGACGTACGGAAAGATATACGTTGGTCAATCTGGCAGATGTATCAATGAGGGACTGCGTGAACATGCTTGGTCTTAGAGGTTGACCGCAAGTGGGCGGAGGCCACTTGTCTCTTCAATGTACAGGTCACAGGTCATGGATACCACACCGAATTCCATCACGCCACGACCATGGTAATCGGCGGGGACCAGATAACCAGTTAACCAGTTAAATTTTAGAGGCGTACACAATCAAAAAAGAATTAACTGAGTATTGCGTAAGCCAAACTTCGGTTTATTTGCATAACAGAGAGATTGGCTATGTGAACAGGCGTGCTCACTGTCCATGGTGGTGTTGTTTGCGGTTGTTGATTTCAGTGTTTGTTTTCCATTAAAACTTCAGTTTAGAGTCACCACTCGTCTTGTGTAGATCCTTCTATGTCGTCTTCGTTTTTTGTGCGCTTTGTCGATTTTTTTTTTTTAAGTATGAACCAACTAGCCCGAATCACGACCCTAATAGAACCTTAGTTTATTCTAGTGTGCATGTTGTTTTTTGTTTTTTTCTGGACGTTTGCTGTTGAGCATTAGGGCCCGTTAACTTGTGAGGCTGCATTAGAGTGTTCTTTTTGAAAGCGCACCTCTTAGGTGTCCGTTACCGCACATTCGCGACTCCAAATCCCTATAGGTGGCGCCACTCGTTTTCCAAAGTGGCGGGTATAATGAGGGTCAGAGATGCGTACCGCTGCTGAGCCTGTCTAGTTTGCTGACTTCACTGAGCGACACAAATTATTTCTGGTAATAAGAGGAAGCTATGGAGTTATGACCGCAGGTCATCTGTTTATCCTGAAAACCAAAACGGTGTTTAGCATAATATTTACGTCAGGAGGCACGTTTTAATTCCGAAGCGAAACCCAAACTAACCTCTCTTTTGGATTTAGTTTCTCGGTTTAGGTCTTAATTTCGGATTTTTTGATAACTCAAAATGTGTCTCACATCGGTATTATTTAGTTAAAGAAGTCGTTTGCGGAGCTTTATTTTGTGACATACGTGTTGCATCCAGGCACTTCAAAATAGTTTGGAGTTTTGAGTGTCCATTTAAAGACAGGGTCTTTTATACACCTTACAAGTAACATGAAATAATGTATTTGTTCAAATAATTTACGCTGATCTTTGTTCGGTCTCGCTGCCTTTTCTCGCTGAGATAATTTTCATGTGAAATAATGAGCTGTGGGCCTTTTAATGGGTTTTGGGTATTTAGGGAAGTGATTGCTTTAACATTATGTATGTGTTTTGAAAGCAACCCGTGACGCATATGACTTTATATTGCATTCAGTGTTTGATTGTTCGTCCATCTTGATAACGATGTCAGAGTTTTTCATACCCTAAAAAGAAAACAAAATGATACGTTTCTGGAAAGACTATTATGGTTAAATGGTGTATTTGAGCAATCTTTGCGTTAATTGGTTAATCAATAGCCGCGGTTTGTATTAATAATAATAATATTAATAATAATAGAATTAAGATACATTAATGCTTAATTTTTCAGTCTCTAATATAATTTGTTGTTTATGGTCTAAATTCAAAAGCGCGAACAAGTATAAAAATCAGAAGTGTGCTAATTATTATCACTGCTGCCACTTGCAGCATTTTGAATTACCAAGTTATAATATAAAAATAGTCTCAAACCAATGAAAACATTTCAGCTAATGTGAAAAAACAGTGCAAAATTATATTAATTGTTGGTAAAGCACATGGTGCTATTAAAGTCTCGACTTCTGACAATCGGCAGAACTTTGAAGATAGGAAAAAAACTATTATTTCTTTCTTAAATTATAAGCTTTTTTTAAATAATATTTAGTTACTTTCATTTTTACGTGCTGTCATTTTGCCAATTTCAGCTTTTCCAGTTCGAAAAAACGCCTACCTGCTCGCATGCCTGCTCACTAAAGCACGTTCCGTTGGCGTCGGAAGCCGGTGATACAGTGGTGAGTTTTAGTGCTGCGTACACGAGCGAACGCAGCCCTGTGTGTTTGCGTTAGCTTTGCGTGTCCCACACTGCTTGTGCGCGGAGCCCAAAATTGCGGTCATGAATTGGCGCATGGCGATGACGCGCATGCGCAACGTGGAGCGCGCAATTCTAACGCAAACGCACAGCGCTTGCGTTCGCTTCTATAGGCGATACTAAAGCTCTCTAATAAGGTACAATCCAATACCAACTGTAGCACTACGTCCGGACAGTGAAGATTGTTGTTTGAATTCGGAAATGGCATTTCGCGAGTCATGATCGCGAGCATTTCCGCTGTGCCCGCTGAGCAGGAGCATCGGGGGACCCTCACTAGAGCGCTTCCCGTTTCCGCCGCGGGAGGGCGGGCTGGAGACGCGAATAGCGGCGTCGCCGTCGGCGTAACCGCTTATGCGGGAACGGGCGCCTAGGAGCCACATAATGCACTACTGCGTGTGTTGCATTGTGGGACGTTCCAAACCTATACCGCAGCTCAACCTTGCCGTTAAATCTAGCGGAGAAACTGAATTGGTGTGTAGGTCTGTGGCGTCCCATAATGCAACACTGCACGCTTTGCATTATGCGGCTTCACGCCCCTCGCTGCCCCCAAACAGGGCCTCCACCATACCCTCCTCCTCTCCCGCCTACACCCCCCTCCCTACCCCCAAGAATAGAAAATAAAAAAAATAAAATATATATATAGTTTTTTTTTCTTCAATTCTTTACAACAGTATATCGTAAATTGAAAATGCCTCAAGAGCAGCGCTCTAATTCCGCATTACAAAGAAGTGTAAACGTCTGTAATTTTTTTTTAGCTCGGTATAATCGATGGTTATTAGTTTAAACTATTATTATTATTATTAAACGGAAAGGACAAGCTCTTGCCCTGTCCGCTTCCTTCTGCTAGTCCGTGCCGCTTGTGCTATTTGTGTCTTGGAGGCTAGACCTTTTGACATCTTCTCTTCATATATTTGAAGTTCACACCTCTACGCTCCAAATTGCATATGTAATTCTACAAAGATGACAGGAAATTGAATAAATATAATTCCCGAGCGAACACGAGGGAGGCTCCCTTTCGTTTTCAATCTTCTGGGTGCTGTGCTCCTACAGATTTAACTGAATCTGCCTGGCCATAAAGAATTGAACAGAAATAGCCATATTTCTCGCGTGCCTGCTTCGCTCGGATTAATAAAAACGCCCAAAGTTTGATTTCGGACCGGGGAGACACGCAGTGAAAGAAGCGAGAAGGAACGGTTTCGTAGCGCGTCGTAAAGCGTTTGGGTCCTGCTGGGAGCTCGTAAACCAAATGCTAGAGGCATTTTTCCAAGGCCGCACGCACGCCTTTCGTTTATGCCGTCGTTGAGAGCTATTCCTTGCAATTGGGCAGTAGGTTTATGGGCTTTCGATGCGGTCAAAAGAGCTCACAATGCTCACTACAGATGCAACAAAGCAGGGATGGGCAAAATACATGCAAATATGTATCTAAATACAAATACAAAATACTTCGTCAAAAATGTATTTAATTACAAATCTAATTATATTTCCAAAAAAGCATTTAAGTACAAGAAACAAATACAACCAAATGTATTTGGTCTCCTCCAAATACTTTTTCAAATGCATTCCTCAAAATTTGCGTCAGCGACTTCAGGGCACCTGCAACTGGTTTCTGGGTATCTCATTTTAATTTTGCATCGCACACTCGGGAGTTAGTCCGCGAGGCTCCAGTAACGCAATAGAAATATAATTTAAAAAGAAATGTAATCAGCTTGGACGTAATAGGTGAAAAAAGTACACAGCTTCAAGCAGCTTTTTTTGTCGATTACATTTTGGTATAGACCAACAAAGAACCGAAACGACCAAGACGCGCAGCACTAGCTAGAGAACTTTGTATTGTTGCAACTCGCACCAGTTACGAAAAACTAAATGACCCGCGCATTTAGAATGTTCCAGGCAAAAATATGGATGAAAGTCAGGCTGGAAAGCATCACAAGTTGTCACAGGCACTTATTTAGCCAGGCTGCCTATGAACGTCGATTTCGTCACTATTCTTGCCCTGGACTAGCACCGTAATCACAAAGTCACTAAACACTTGTGCTTGATTGAGAGGCACTGCATTCGGTGCTGAACGTAGTTTTCTTCCTGTTCTGGACAGTGGCAATAAATTTGAGGGATGTATTTTCGCCCACAAAATTGTATTTAATTATAATTGTAATTGAAATACCCACGTTTTAGTATTTAAATACACACGTCAAATACATTACCCAATTTGTAACTAAATACAAACGCAAAATGCACAAAGTATTTGAAATACGTATTTCAAATACTTGTATTTGAAATACTGCCCATTCGTGCAACAAAGATAGCTTCAGCTAAACCGACCCTTCTCAGTTCTTGTGCGTTTGACGCTGTTTTCAATAAATATTATGCCATTATTTTTGTGCATCTTCTTTTTAGCTTCCGCAGCTATAAGAGGGCTAAGGCAACGATTGCGTGCTTGGAGGCCGGATGTTCGAAAGAGGCGCCCGCCGCTCTCACCTTGTCAGTAACTATAAACAACAGGTCAACCCCAATGGCTGCCGATGAGAAATGTTGATTGTATAGTACTACTGCTTGCCTGGGGTTTTTAACGTGCATCATGCAGTGGGGATACATGGCCACACGCCGTTACGGTGCTTATCTAGATTACAACGAAAGGAATAGGGATTGAGCCCAGGAGGCCCAGGTTCTTCTGCTCAAGTTGGAAATGTCGATGCTGCTCGCAGGAGGTATGCCGCTAAGTTTTAAAATAATAGCTGATGAACGTTAGTTAACTTTATTGAGCTAAAGGTTCTTTGTGTGTACCAGGAAGATTAGAAGGATGTTAATCTCTAAAATTGACCAGAGATACTCGTGAGAAAGGAAGAAAAAAAAAAGAAAAAGCGAGATAGAAAGTGCAATGTGTCATGGCTGCTGATTGTTTCGTATCGAGACGCCGTAGACGTTCCTAGCTTTAACGTAGCAGTGCTATAGCATACTCTGGATGCATCCAGTACTGGCAATGCGTGAAACGAAGTATACTATAGACAAATTAGGAAATTCGCAATGGCATAACACCAACCAGTCAAACACTGGCATACAAAGACGCGCTAAACGAGTCTGATTTTTAAGGGCGTAAGATAGAAAACCGGTCGACGCTAAATTTGCCATCTCTTTATTATGTCGCAAAAGGCACATGCGCATGCAGCCATCCCAAATAAGTTTAAGACGCACGTTATGTACGCATCTGTTTTTTATGTACTTGCTATTTCGAACAAAAACTGCAAGGTAAGACCGTGAGCCTGGAGCGCTTTAAAACAATTTCCGATAAACCATCGAATGTTTCCCGCTCAAATGAACTACAACTTATTTTCTCCACCTCTGAGCACGTGGCAATCGATTTTGGCGGGGCATACCTATGCTTCCTTTGAGCTGCAATTCGAGCACCCGGATGTAGATATGCTTGTCGTAGTCGACCCGGATTAGCCAGTTGCACTCCACGTTCTTGGGGAAGCTGTCGGGGTAACCGGGAGACACCAGGACTCCCCCAACGCCAGTCAGCACCCCTCCGCAACCCGAGATGTTCCGAGAGGACGGCGGGGGCTGGATGAAGCCTGCACCAAGACGACGGAGACAAATGATCGAGTACAGAAAGGGGAATCGGTGACCAAGTGTGTTAAACTACCGCAGCTCAAAACCCGTAGAGCGAAAGTATGCACTATAGAATCCAGAAATCCCAGTTTCAACCCTCCCCCTCCCCCTCTGTTTATTCAGGTCAGGATGAGCATGTACCACCATACGGTCATGCGTCACTATACTGTGCGATGCATGTTGTGAAAGACCCAGTCTATAGCAAACGTACTGCACTGGCTACATTTCTCATCTACAGTGTAAACCAGTATCGCCACACCTCAAAGGCAGGCTGACTTTCTGCTGTCTAAACGAGAAAGTAAAATTTAGTTTTGTTTTGTTTGAGTATAAAAAAACGCACTAGGCTCAGTATGTTAGTTGTAGTGAAGGATGTTTGCTGATAGAAAGTGTCGAGGATTCATGTTGAATTACGGTTTGATTTTTGGGAGACTTCATTTGCTCTTACCAGAGACGTTGTCGCAGCCTTCTGGATTTCGAAAAACAAAATAATTACGAGGCAGCGTGGCAATTCTCTTGCTTAAAAAAACGTGTCACGTTTCGCTTTCCTTTTTGCGTGGCTTTTTATTTATTTAAAGTTTCCAGTTTTCTTAAGACGTTTACCTGATCCACCGTTTATGTAAAGGCCCGTTCACACACTTGCGACTGCTTAGAACCGTGCGCTTTAAAACCTCTTAATATCTCTTACGACGAGGGAAAACACTGGCGACATCTGTAGGGCAGTTGTAAAACAAGTAGTTTCTAAATATTTTTTTTCTTTTTTTTTACAAGCCTCGTTTTTGCTTTTTTAGCTTGAAAAACCTTTGGCAATGCTATAAACGACAATTTCTCATAGATTATACGTACATTTAACCTCGCAAATTTGGATAAAACTAAGAATAAGAAATATTTATCTATTTATTTATTTATTTACAGTGTCTACCAACAGTCAGAGGCCTAAAATGATAGAACACCACGACAGTTTACAAAGGTAAAAGACAAAAACAAAAATTCAAAACTCGACCCGATGACAACTCACAATATGAGATGGTCGACGCGTGTCTTGAACGCTGAAATGTCATCATTAAAAAGGTCAACAACTAACATTGTACCAGCGGTAGTCGAATCGGTTCCTCCCCAGGATATTAAAATTGCAGCTTCTTCGAACGACGAATTCCTAGACTGTCTGGTGAGGCGTTAGGCATAAGCGTTCTAAATAAATTATGACAAACTACAATTTCTTTTTTCGTTTCTCGGTGTGTCGTTTGTGTGCCATTTTAGTAGCGAGCACCCGTCAACTTTTTTGCAGCTTTTTTTTTTTCTCCCGAACTCTCCTTCATGAAATTGAGGAGAAATAGAAGTAATTGCATTGTACTGGTTGCGAGTGATGCCGATGTCATACGTGAAACGTATTCTGTCCTGCTCTTAAACAACTCTTGTCCCCTTCACAATCTTCGTTTATTTTGTCTTCAAGTAAACTGCCAATATTAACAACCTCAATCGATATTGTGCTGGAAGTATTTAAACGCAGCACAGGCGGCCAGGCTAAGAAGATTTATGCCACTCTTGGCTACCGATTTGAAACGCCTTAAACAACCGGTCCTATTAGTTGAAAAAAAAAGGAGACAATCTGCCTGGAGGCATCTATAGTAGAATAGCTTGCGCGACGATAAGTCTCGTCATATTTTGCCCCTGTCCAATTACACAAAATGGTTTAATTGCTTTTGGGTTACGTTGATGCAAGAAGACGCAGGATATCGAAGCCGTCGTTTGTCTTCCAGAATGAGAGACTCCTCAGCAATCATTGTTAGAGAAGAAAAAAATAGACACCACGTAAACTTAGAAAGGAACACTTGCAAATAGCAAAACTAATAAAAAGATTGCTCTTAAGGTCCCATTTTGTCCCGTTGATTTGTTGAACATTAGAGGGAAACATTGCGGTTCTGGTATTATTGGCCTGACGCCAACCACATAGGGCTGAACTGGATTTTCCAAGAAAGTGTGGGAAGCGCTTAGAAAAGCGTTTAAAAGTTTAAAAAAAATATTGAACTCAGGTTATCATAAAGTTCATAATGGTTTTGGCTGTATCGTAGCGGGAAGTGGGAGTCAGAGATGTTTTAGGCCGTAGGAATTTTAACGCAGTAAACATTTATAACCTGCCTCTTGTTTGTGTGCATTCTGATAGATTGGGAGCAAACGAAGCTTTCATTCCTTCCCTTAGCTAACTGGATCGATGAGTGCTTTTGCAGATCTAGAAGTTTTCATTGCACTATCCGAAATACCTCCTAGTACTAACAGGATATTTTTGTCAATTGACGCTGAACTCTGAAATATATTTTTTTTTTCGTTTCATTTTTAAGTGATTGAATAGGTATCCTTTTCAATCTCTTAATAAACTGTTCATTTGTGCGATTCAAAAACGTGCGTCTATTTCGATCCAGGAAGCCGCGGACGCAGCGCTAATACATCACGCAAACGACAGTCTACGAACGCTGTCTTAGGTGTGCTTCTTTTTTGTATTGAAAGGCCCCTGAAAAAAAAAATGGTTTCTTTTTAAGTTTGTTTAGGACACGCCTATCATTAAAAGAATTTTATGCGAAAAAAAAATTTTTTTTTTTGAGCAGTCTTGACGGCGCGAGACGCAATTTAGTCGGTAATCACCTCCTTTTCACTTTTTTTTTTCTCTCTTGGCATTTCGGGCGCGTAGAAAAGAGGTGGATCGGCTTGGCCATCACGTCGAGTTGGAGAAAGTGTATGGCCATCTCGTTGAGGTCGAAAGAGTGTATGACCATTCCGTGACGTCATGGACTTTGCGCGCAGAATTTCAAATTAATCTCGCGCCGTCAACATTGTCCTAATATTTTTTTCTCGTAAAATTAATTTCTTGATACGCGCGTCCCAACCAATATGTTTAAAAAATAACTTTGTTTTTCAGGTTTTTTTTAAGAGGGTCCTGTCCCATTGGTCATAAAAAAAGCTGTCTGCAGACATGCTGGCAGCATGTATGAAACAAAACATGCTTCGAAGATGCGTGAGGCGTGTTTGCAGATAAGTTCGCCATCATGTCCACAGCCAACACAGTGTCCTTTGTATGATGCACGAGCAGTGCGACCGTGCGGCTTGACGAATGTTTGCGGTAGTTCAATGTCCCTTTATAAACCGAATATGAATCCCAACAGATGCATCTGCTCAGTGATACGTGTTGCCAAGGATGTTGGTGCGTACTCTCGTCGGTGAACTGGAACATGCCGAAGAAGCCAGTGCGCTCGTTGGCGTGGTTGGTCTTGAAGATGATCTCCATGCGGGGCTTCATGGTGAGCAACGGTACGGGAACCTCGGTGCCGCAGTAGCGGCCCACCAGCTGCCGGACGTTCGTCACGCTGATGGTGCTGATGTCCACGAAGTCGTTCAGGCAGCTGCGCGAAAGCATTGAGAATTAGAATCAGAACCAAAGTGGCTTTGCTGAGAACCACGGGCACGAGCGTTCAATTTTTCGGGTGAATTTCAAGAGAATCTTTCCGCTGATGTGTGCTAAACCAGCACTCTGGAACGTGGTATTATTTTTGAAGCGTAAAATAATACATGTTTTGCAACCCCGATAACCTGCAAGTCTACCCTCGCCCCACTTCGCTCCACTTCCGGCCACCGTGACAGGGTTAGAGAGGTACTTCCGGTTCTCCTGTGTTTATTTTGTGTTTGGCTAAGTGCGCGACGACTCTTGATTTGCGAGAGATCTGCGCTGTAGATATGCCCCAGTCCGTGCCTTTAAGTTGCCGATGCCCACCGGCACGAACAAAATGTCACAAGCAAACCCTTTTCGATTATATCGAGACGAGGGACGCCCCAGACGCCGCCGAGCTTCGATGATCGCAGTTAAGCAGACAGCGCTCGCCTACTTTGATGTGCTGCCGACAGACGGCGCAATGCGACAAACGCGAGGATGCGGCGCGAGCGGCGCCTCGTCCGTCCATCACCGTACAACGAAAGGTGCCAACCGGATCATTTTGGCACGTATAAATGCAAGCTGACACGGTGCATTGGGGAGTATAAATGCAAGCTGACACGGTGCATTGGGGAACAAACCTTGAATACCAAAGCAAAAAAGTAAAAACCTTAGAAAATTGGGCATTACAAAGACTGGTGTCGCTCTGAAAAATGCGTAATAAAAACTTTCGGAAGTTTGCCTACTAAAACCAATACCCAGCTCGGCGACACCTGCGGAGAAGCTCGACGCGTATCTTCGGCGCCTGGCGGAGAAAGGTGCCCACCGCCGATGCCTTGCCGTTCACAAAGTAGTTCAACGCGTTTAAGAACTCGTATGTTTTAAGTTCTTCTCAGGTATATGTACCAGGTGGCTCGAATAGGTAGTCGTGATGATGAGCCCACGATTACCTGCGGCAGGTTGGTCATTTCCTTGAAAAGCAAGTGCGTCTTCTTTTCACCCAAGGGATCAGGAAGGCATGTCGATCCCGTACAAGTAAGTTTCAGGAGTTACTGCAGTTAGTGCTTGAGGGTTAGGCTTTTAAAGTACGTTCTACTCACTGCGAGTCCTCAAAAAACAAGAACAAAAACAATAGCCAACCTGAAGCCAGATACCCAGGAAGTTCGGTCATGTTGGGTTTCGTTTACCTGTGCACTGTCTGTATATTTTTAGGATATAATTATGCCTCTTTTACAACGTTTGCCTTTATGAGAGTTTGACTGTAACCGTAGTTATAGCACTGCAACGTCACTGACAGACTAAAGAATGCAGGGAGTGGATTGTTACGCTCACGCCTTTTGCTTTGGGATCGGTTTTGATGGCGTTGTGATCCGCTTATTCCTTAATCTTTTTGGCCACGGAGTGCTAATGAAATTGCTCGGGATTCACGATGACCAGTGTTTCTTAAGCTGCCACTGATCATACGGCGTGTAAGTTTCTCAGCTTCTTGCGCACCTAATGCGTTTGTTTACCCCCCCCCCCCCCCCCCCCCCCCCCCCGCCCCCAAACGCGTCTATGTGCTTTTGTATTTCAGCTGACCGTAACCATGACGCCGTGCGCTCGGCTGCCTCGTCACCGCGCGTCCCCTCCGCGTTCCTCCTGTTGACTTTTGATTGGCGTGATCCTCCTTGCGTGCCCATACGCCTTTGCTGCATTATGGAACACTCGCTAGCAGTGTAGCTGCACCATAGCCTCCTCTACACTCACAAAGCCTAGCAGTTTGATGACGGAGCCATAGAGTGCCCGGTCGCAGATTTGGAGCGCGAGGATCTGGTAGCACAGAGCACCAAAGAGCCATTTCTCGGGGAACCTGGACGTCAGCGCACAGCTGTTGCAGCTGCGAGGACCCGAAACACACTTGCTCGCTCGGGAGAAGTGTGTTTCGGCGTCTCGCCGCAGTGGGGCGCCAGTCACGTGGTTCTCCTCTCATCCGTTGTCTGGCGCTCTACCTTTTCCATTTCGACGGCCACTTCTCGTGGCGATCTGCCAGGCATTGTTAGTGCATAGGAGACTATGGCTGCACATATCTGGATAAGGCGAGCACACTGCTCGCCGCTAACTCGGAGCGCCGGTGTTCGACGTTGAAAACGCAGCGTTGATCTGACGTTTCACGACCTTTCGTGCAAGTTCGGAGCCCTGCTTGACCCGAAGGCACTTGGTTTTCTGTGTTAATTTAGTGCGAGCCGCTCGATTCATAACAACCCTACACACTATCCCAATTTGTAGAAATCCGCAGAATAACGTGCGATTTTCAGAGCACGTTACACGCGCTTGTTCGTCGCTTCAAAGAGCTGGTGAATCACCAACAGTCCGAACGAACACTAAAATAGCGCCGGCCTGAAGCCATTTTTTTTACTGATGTGTATATATGCGCAACGTTTTGCAATGGTGATACCGCGGTGTTACACTCGTGTTCTCTATAGACCTTTCCAGAAAAGAACGTGTGGCCGGTGCCATCTTCAGTTTTCGTGCGTATGGCGCGTACTTTTTTTGCTTTCCGAAGCGACGAACACGCACGTGCTCGGCTGTGAAGGTCCCACGCTGGACTGTGATTTTGTTAACATTGGAAAGGTCTATAGTTGCTGGATGACCGGCTTCGCTTTAGAAACGGTTGCTTAAGCCGCGTGGGTCATGCTGCCTATTCACCGTACAAAAGACAGTCTGCACACAGACTCGAACGCGCGTCACCGCGAGATCAGTGCTTCGAACGCCGCGTGGCAATGAGTTTAAGGAGAAAACTTGGGAACGCGGCATTCGAACCACGGATACTGCGGTGACTTGTGTTCGCAGACTGTCTTCTGTACGAAGTATTAGCGGTGTCACCGTGGCTAGAGGGGCTTTAATCGCTTGTGACCAACAAAACGTACCCTGCAAAACGAATCCCGGACTGCTGTTCGTCGATCATCCAGATTATAGTCCGTTGCAACTCAAGAAGGTAGGGCGAGGGTAAGACGGACCGGGGAGGAGGAAGCAGACGGAGCGCTAAAGAGAGAAGGAGGTGTTCCTCGCTTCTCCAGCGTTCCGTCTGCTTCCTCCTTTCCGGTTCGTCTTACCCTTGCCCTACCTTCTTGAATTTCAACAGACTATAGAGCCATTTTGATAGCCTCACCCCCCCCCCCCCCCCTTCCTCCCCGCCCCTTCTCGTGTGTCGTGAAAGTTGCGAACACTCGCGGAACTGGCCTCTATTCTGAACGTACCCTTTGGAGAAAGGCGGCTCGAGGTCGAAGTGCAGGAAGGTGATCTTGAGGGTTTCGGATTCTTGTCCCTTGAAGAGGTAGTAGCAGTGGATGCTGCTGGGGTACGTATCCGGGTACTTGGGGGAAGAGAAGTTACCGGACTTGCTGGCCAGGCTATCGAACTCCATGTGACAAATGCCTGCAACGAGGAATCACACGCGTCGTCGTGCGTTGACTCCGCGCTGTGTTTTTTAGCTACTTTGATACGCTGTCGGGGCGTGCTGTTCTTCTCGGACGGTATTTGGGAAGCGTATGCACAAAGTGTTTTAACGCTCCAGTAGACGAACTGTACTTTTGTTTCAGAGATTTTAGACGCCTTAATATAATTCCGTGCAATACAATATTCCATAAGTTCACGCTACTTAAACCGAAGCTTATGTTTAATAAAGCATATTATGGAAAATATCGAGTAGCAATTGTTTTCCTTGTAAGGACGTGTATCACATGTTTCTCGTTCGGTAAGCGAGAGCGCAAAAAAGTTTTTTTTTACCTGAACACATATTAGGCTGTCTGCTAGTTAGTGTTACTTTATATTGTGCACTAATCAGTACGAGCATGAAGACAGCCAATGGGTGTGCTTCTAAGGGGGAAAGACAACTGGTGAACGACAAAGTACAAAAATAAAACCGCCCACGCTAAATTTATGACTTAGAATGTCTACACGCGCACAAAAAAACAATATGCAAGAAAAACTGGCGTTCTGATGTTCCCACTTACCTATTGCTTTTCTTTGTAACGTGAGTAAAATTAGCAATTGAAAACGTGCTATATATGAAAGCATCTGGAATGAAAAGAGAGACATTAATATCCGTCAGCACAAAGAAAAAGAACTTCATAACATCTAATCCGACATGTTACGTCCCAGATATACGAGATAACGAATAACGTCGAACACTTGTCAGCGACGTCGCGCTTAAACGGGACAAATCGGTTCAACGTTTCCTAATTTCATTTCAGCGACAAAACCGCAAACCAATTATGTCCGCTTCAAGCACATTCGGGCCTGACAGATATTTTACCTCGACAGCCGAGAAACCCGAACGTAAAAAAGACCAAGACAGAAACATACAAAAGGCTAGGTTCGACCAATCTTGCGTAAGATCCTCGCAAAACCTGGTCCACTTTTCTCAGAAACCATCCTTTCAGTTCCATTTTGTTCCTTTTTTTTCTTCTTTTCAGCTTAAAACCGATCGCAACCCTCGTGGTGTGAAGCAAAGGGGGGAACTTGAAATGGAAAGATACACAAATGAACCCATACGTAAGACAAACAAAATCACTATGAACACACACACAAAGATCTCGTTCGCCCGAAAGAAACGCGCGGCTGAGGGTCACGCTTCGCTTGTTCCCCGGGTTCGAACCTCAGCACGAAGGGGCATTCTGGCGCAATTCCAAAGAGCGATCGAGAACAGACCGAGAGAAAGAAATGTGCGAGCTCAGCAGAGTGTGGCCATGCAGTGACCGGACATTGAGAATGGTTGCTCCCCACAAGCGGAGGGCAGCGACAGTTGCGTCTGGAGAGATGTTGCGCAACTTCTGAGCTCATTGAGCGACCGAAAAGGCTCGACGTGTTTTGACATTCACTCGAGAAGCGCGCGCATACCAGGATGCATAGCTAAGAAGACTGTTTGCGATAGCCGATGCCCCAAGAGATGACTTCGTAATCATCTGTCAAGCGTTTCATTCAACCGTACCGTCCGCTGAATATAATGTTGCTGTGTTTCAGCATAGGCGATCATTGATTATTTAGAAATCCATTAATAATTATACCATAAACATCCGTCGAAAAATGCGTACAATACTTAGCGAGTAGGTTAAGTTTAAAACTAAATTTTCCTAATTACATTTTTTAAGTCCTCAATGCCTTTATCGATTCAAAACCTGTGCTAGTACCGAAAGCTATCATGTGGCGAGAACTTGCTCTAAAAATTTGTAAAGACTTTACGGCGCTTATAATGCGGTAGTGACTTCACTAGAGTTTTTGCGCGCTGCTCTTCTTGCGCAGAAAAAAAAAAAAGGGGACGGGGGTAACGTAGGGGAGTCAGCTAAGCGGCCTATAACTACTCTCAGCTTAAGAAATAGATGGTGTAGCTGTGCTCAAAACGTTATCGATATGCGACCCGTTCTTGGACGTTCTAATCAGTCAATGTCGCAATCTCCTTGGTTTTCGGAGCGACAGTAAACTGTTTGTAACTTGCCCCGCCCCGCGTCGCTTAAGTCTGTAGTGACTATATAGTGTGTAGCTCTGTTGTTCTTCATCTACAGCTTGAACCAGTCTCACCACGCAAGGGCAGACAGACCTCGTGTTGGCTAACACACATGAGTCTAATTTGATTGGACAGAACCTCTCACTCAATATTGATAAACCAGCGTGTAGCCGCGTAAAAACTGTTACTCTACACATCTGCGAAAGGCTGTCTCTGTTTTTCCATAAATGAGAGTGAAGCCGATCGTACAAGCAAAACCTATACTTCGTTTGAGCTTCGGTCCAGACGCAGCCGATGCTACAAGCGCGAGCATGCGGCCCAGAACAGTGCTTGCACTGCACGAGCGCGCGTGCTTGGCAGGGATGCTGAAAGTCTGGAGCTCGCGCTTGTAGCTTTGGCTGCGTCTGGACCGAAGCTGAAACGAAGTATAATGCCTCGAGCTACTCTTGCACTGCACGAGCGCGCGTGCTCGGAACTCCTGCTGAAAGCGCGGAGTCCTTACTTGAAATTCCAGCTACGATCACATTTAAAGGAGCCATGAAATGATTTTACAGCTTATCTGTAAATAGCGACCCCAGTTTATGTCGAATGCGCATAAAATCTAAACTAGGAATCTGTGTTCGTTTGAGTTTTTTTCACTTCCTTAGAAAAAAAAGAAACATGATGAAACATTAATTTTTCCTTTCTCCTAAACGAAAATGGGAAATGAGAAATCATGTGATTTTGACATAGTAGTCCACGAGAAGCGGAAGTCTTCTTAGCCGATTTAGCGTCAGTGGGGTTAGCCGTCCGTGTTCCCCACAATGTAGAGCTACGTAGAGCGACAGCCCTCCCGGCTTTCTTGCCGGGTCGGCATTACACAATCTGCCAGATGCTAACTGAGGCTTTTTTTCGTTTGATTAATTTTACATCACCCATGGAAAAAAAATAATGTGATACTTCGATATTTGACGGTGACGGGTTAAGAATGTAAAAGATAGAAGCGTCCACAGAGCTTTTTACACACAGCGTCGAAATTCTGGTCCGAGGGTTCGAGGTTACGTAAACCGGCTTCGGCCGATATCGCCTAAGCATTGCAGATGCATCAGAGTGGAAAGGCCTAGAGGGTTCAAAGGATACAATGTAAGATATATTCCGCCTCATTTTTAATATTTAACTACAAAAATGAGGCTTTTAGCTTCCTATCCTCGTGGGCGAATTTGTTTTTTTAACTCACTAAACGATTTGCAGCTAAACGCGTTGTCACGTCAAGAAGAAACGAAAGGTTTGCACAATATTCATGCGCAGCACGAAGTACTTCTCAGAAGATTTGGTTGTCGGAGGAGGAAACGACCTTTGGCGTTTGAAAAGTGTATGTCTTGAATAAAATAACGTAAAGCTAAACTAAGATGTACCTACATATAGCTTAATTAGACACATAAAGGGCGAAGTTAGTAACGCCTCCTAGAGAAGCCGGACTTCTTTACTATGTTTTTTGGGGTGAATGCGAGCATTCGTAACTTAAATGCCCTATAGATGGCAGGGTGGTAGTTCCAGGATGGCGTGAGGGACGGGGATATATTGCCGCATGCATGTTCGAGAAGATAAGCTTCTCCTTCTGCGTTCATATAAAACAGTGGTTCTCAGCCATTGATGTTTCGCGGACCCCTTGTGGATCGGCGGGGATGATGAAGGACCCCGTTCGTGGTGAGGGAAGGAAAAGTATGGGTTATTAATGATAAAAAAATTAATAAATGGATATAACTGAGTGCTAGTGTGAAGTAGACTTCTCCCATATAAACGAGAAAACGCATCCGAAAATTGGAACGTTTCTTTTCAATCTAAGAAAAAACAACTTTTATTGCCGGGCTTGACAGAGGAGGCTGCTGCTTCGCGGACCCCAAGAATGCCTTCACGGACCCCATCTGAGAACCACTGATCTAGAAGATTCGCGTACACCTCTTACCCCGAGCGTAAGCAAAAAGGAGGCCAGAATGACTTTGCCTAGGCAGTGTCGCCCTAGCTCTTTCCCGAACATTCTAGGTCGAATATTCGAGATGACGAGCATTGCATATACAGAGCCGAGCGCCGTAATGCCGACTCATTCCCCGATCCTCTCTCGCGATAGCCAGCTGTTACGCCGGCGAAGCGTCGCTTGCCTCTGCCGCCACCGACGCTCGCTGCTGCCTTCTCGACGTGTGTTCTTTTTCGCTGTTGGCACAACTTTGCCTCTATTAAATCTTTAGTTCATTCCGTTATACCCTGCCTCGTCGTCTGTCGTTCGTGACAATATATTCTCCAGAATCTCTCGTGCGCCTGCTGGCTAACGGCGTTCAGTGTGCTAAAATTAATATCTTTGGCAACAGACACGAAGCGGTCGGGGCAGGAGCGTATCAAAGTTAACAGAGATGTCGACGTGCGTTAAGAAAATTAGCATGTGGATTTTTAAAAGTTGCGAGGCGGAACACAATTCCTATCTTAACGCACTCGCTTTTCTCGTGAAAATTGCAGGATGCACGAAAACGCAGATCAGAATCATGTGGCAACAGCATCACCAAGGCAGAATAATCTCTGCCACCGTCTCCGCCCGCCGTTGTCTTTCGTCCGTGAAAGGGCGAGTGGCGGGCTAAAGTTGCGAATAGTAAAGTTCGAGTCTAAATCATCGTACGGTCCCTTTAAAGCGACACAGGCGCGTGTCAAAGTGCCACAATTTCCGCGTGCAGCGTCGGAACAGCATACCACCGCCGTGAAGTAAATTCGTGTATCAAAGCTAGACTCCATGGATAAAAAAGCGACGAATTCTGCCCAACGCGCTCGCTCTGCAGTACGAACAATTGAAGTTCTTTCGCGAGGGAAAAGAAGGTGCCGACGAGCGAAATTCGTGAGTTCTTCACTGCATACTCGCTCCATGAAATTGAGCCTTTGTTATAGAACGATACATTTGGTGGAATTGGCATGTCCGTTGAAGCACCTCCTACCTCTTGCGTTGAACGTCACCACGGCGCTCCCCATGAACGGGCCGTGCCAGGAGACGGGGATTCCCCTGGATCACACGCCATTCAACGGGGGATCGGTCTCCGGACTTCCAGGGGACCCCGACCCGGCGTTGCTCATCCTGTCGGAGGACGCTCGCTGGGCCACCAAGAAGAAAGACAAAACGCACGGGTATAGCCTCCCTTATCGCAGCCCCAACGTGTACCTCGCGGCATCGTTCATCAACGACTGGAACACCTGCCAACCGTATGATTGATTTGGGCGGCACAACGCAACAACTTCCTACTTAATCCGCACTATCACTGCGCAAATATTTATTCTTACTTTGTATTCTGGTAGTGTTTGTGGGATGAGAAAGAAAAAAAGAAAGATCAGTTACTGCTGCCGCACTATAAAAGCAACAAGAACAAAAAAAAAGAGAGAGAAAGAGATGAATAAAGAGAGGGGGAGTGGGAAGAGCTTAAAATAAAAAAAAATTCAGGGTATTAAAAAAGGGGCGTTCTTTAAATTAACAAATAATTCCTTCTGGATAACGTTACCGACAGCGGCAGACATCAGATTACGAATATGATGTGGCATTTATCGAATGGAATATTCAAGA